GTATCATATCTTGTGCTGTGTTCACTTCAGCATGTGGGATGAATTTAGCTAATAACGCGGAATGACAATACATGGAATATGGTTATTATAATACCTACCTATCCATGGGTGGTGTACGTAAAGCAATTCTTTAGGTTTAGACCGTCGTGAGACAGGTTAGTTTTACCCTACTGATGAGGTCTGTCAATCCTCGCCGTGTCCGGGCCGGGTGAGTTTTCCCGTGTTGAGTCAAATTAAGCCGCAGAAATAGCACAGTACTTTCCAAAAAGTTGCAATATCATAAACTCTAGCATGCAGGTAAAAATCAATATTTATAAAAGCACGACTTTTATATGCAAATTAGAAGATTGGTTGCATTGCATCATTCAAATTATGCCTGTCTGAGTTAAACGGCCTCCATTAAACCGCGATTTACAATTTGCAGTTTTCGGGACTTCTAAGGTACCTGAATTTCTTCAAAATATACCTATATATTTTTTGGAATGGTGGGTTTTAAATCAGAAAAAGCTCTCCTGATCATACTTTTCTGAAATATTAAGTCCCCATCATAATAAATATGTTTCTGTTTGCGATCCAAAATTTGTCTTGGGTAGGACTTTATATCCTAGAAGAATCGTCATAATGTGTAATCCAAGGGTTAAAGAAAAGAGTAAGGTAAGCTTACCCATATTATACCATTTTAAATAAGTTACAATATGATAATATTTCTACTATTTTGAATAAATCTCAATTAAAATGCAACCCTACAAAGTGTGGTAGTTTAAAGCCAGTGCACAAATTATGAAGCTTATACAATTCCAGTTCAATATGTATATGCATTCTCAACTGTAGATGTTTAAAATTGACAAAGATATTAATGACAGTAATATGTAAGCAATCCTTTATAGAAATCATATAAATATGGTCATACATACTGATATAAAGATCTGAGTTCTGTGTCACATTTAAAGCTGTGCATAAATAAGCACCATCCTGAGAATAATAATAAAAAGAAGAAATTATTTTATTGCAACTGTATTATAAATCATTTAATACCAGCATAATCTAGTCCAGGAGAAATAAAAGTTTTTTTAGTATGCAATGAATTAGTACTTTCTGATATTTATAAATGTTGAATGAAAATTATCGTTATACGTGAATAATTTTGCAATCTGAAGAATGCTTTTTATGGGTGAGAGTAAACAAAAAATAGGGACTTTCGACTGATTGTCTGTAGACACATTTTAGGTGAAGCAAATATTTCAAGCTGTTCATAAATACAACTGTCCATTTAAAACAATTTGTGGTGACACGTCATGTCTCTAAAACAATCTGTTATGACATCAACGTTATAAAATAAACAATGGTGATACGAATAGACATGTAATTGGATAATCAGTGAAGTCAATGTTAGTGGCCGTATAGAATGCAGTTCCCCACAGTGTCTTGAGTCCGTCTGGTGATCTCTTTCATTAAAGAACGTAATGCTTTCGTTTTGATGTGTACGCCCGCCCGTCATAGTTTTTGTCGCACCTCGGTTGCTATGCTTATGCAATTGTTAATGTATACCCTTTCTCTATATCGTATATTTGCACGCTTGGAGTAGTAACTATTTGGCAAAGTGGTGTGTTCACAGTGACAGGCGAAGTTGCAAAACAATTTTTTTTTTACGATACACCAAATTACTGTCTCTTTGACCTTTACCTGCTGTAATCTACAAATATCGTCCGCGTTATTACGTCTTGTTGAATGAATTCTGACAATAGAGTAAAACACCCCATTGTTTATGACACTCCGAACAAGGCAATTGCTTGGGTTAGACAAACAGTTCCTTCAATCTGAACAGCTTTACTATATTTGTTCAATATATAACAGATTTACTTATTGGTGATAACAATATTCTCGCTCAATTGGTTAAACCAATAACATGAATATTATATGCTCGACATCACACAGTGGATTTCACTCAAACCTCGAGTATACTCCAAATTTGGAGTTGTTTACCAGCTTCAATGACACTGTTACTTTGCGTTGATCACAGTGTTAGACTCTTCTGTGCACAGTTGCCCATGTACAAACTATGCCAGGCACGACTCACGGCTATCCACGGTTTTTGAGGTCATCACACAGGCATTTAACGCTGTTCTCATGTAACAGCCGAAGTTATCCTAAACTCGTGTTGACATGCGACTGATTTTGATACAATATTGTGTATAATACATACCTCTTGTGGAGAAACATTAGGCATGAGAATTTCCAATTCGCTTCCTTCACAGTACGACTGCGTCATCAGTAGCACGAATATCCAAACAGTGAAAACAACCGCCATGTTGACGCTGGTATATTTAAAGAATACAGAGGATTGAATCGATATCGGCGGGTTTTAGTGACGTCACATACCCCCTAGTACTGAAAACAACATTATAAGGTCATAGAAGTGTGCACACAACCATTCGGTGGTAGAAAAAACATGAATGTGAAATGTATTTTTTGGTAGTCAGTTATACAAGTTATTTACGCAATGCACAATAAACTTCACAATCAGCAAATTACATCAAATACACATTCCAATACTGATATATTATCGTCTATTTAAATATTCCAATATTCATGGCATATCTAATCTGTTGATTCTATATATAAAAATTGTTTCCACGCTCCATCGATCAATTTATTTATTTATTTACTGATCTGTGAAAATACATAGAATATACATTACAAGGGGTTAAATATGTGGATGCAGTAATAGTTATGTAGTATAGTTATGAATTGTTATATACAATTGGGATTAAAAATAAATTACAAATAGTCTTAAAAAGTGGCATGCACCATGTAATAGTTGAGAAATTACTACGATTAACTGTTTCCCTTACCAGGTTCGTAAAAGCAGATATTACAGAGAAGCAACAACAAAAAAATCCCATATCAGAGACTGAAAATGAAATGTTACAAACTTGCAATAGATGGATGCACTAAAATGTACTGTCAAATTTCAATCTAATAATCATATAATAAATTAATTTATTCATAATACTGTAGGCCTCCGGCCTTAAGGTATACTCATTGTAATTACATACCATTTTACAGAAGACAATGTCATTGTTTAGTGACTGAAAAAGAACAAGAAAATATGAAAAGAACATGAACTGTCAGAGCAAAATAATTGTATTACGTTTTTTTTTTGTGGCGAGAAAAATACATTTAAAAATATTACGCAAGATTCTTGCATTTAGTAATTGTAATAGCCATATAACATTTTCGGCTGAGGGAAATGTATAATAATAACTTTGGATGTATTTAGATCTCAACTCTTGGTAAAACGGACAGATAATGCAAAAATGGTACTCGTCTTCTACACAATTGGTATTACATAAAATACAAACCCTTTCTGTGCGTGTATTATGGAATTTTCTATCAGTTTCAATACGTAGACAATGGGCAGAAATTCTTAGGCGACACAATGCTTCCCTGTAACAGTCTTTTTGGACTGTTTTAAGATAATTCTCTTGACCAAATATAAATTTAAATTTTCTATAAAAACACAACTTCGGAAATAACTCGAGTCCACTTTGCCAATTTTGAATATCAAGCATCGCTGTTTGAAAAGCTTAACAAAGTATTCAGATTTCCCCCACTTTTACCCTTTTCTGCTTCATGGTACTGAAACATGTAACATAAATAGAGCAGTCTGTGTCGGGGTAATGATAAAATGCGAAGCCAATACTTAATAATCCTAATAAGTCTAAACGTTTTAATAGTAA